TTCCCTACATACAGGATATGACAACACATTCTGAAATCAAGTGATTTTCCATATAAATCTTGTGGTTCATTAGAAGAAAGTCTTATTCTCATTATAGGGGGAGTAACGAGGGGGTTTTTGGTTGTTTTGTTTTTAAAACAGGAACAAATCCAATCTACTAACCATTGTTTGTGTTAAAGGCCAGATCCAAGTTTTCAGTGGTGTAAGTTGACGACGCTACTTGCACAGATGCAGATGTGGGAAACACAAGTATATGAGTGCACGATGTGTCCTGTGGGGTATTCAGCTGAGACGTCTGCATATTTAAAGTGGTGCTGCGTCCAAATACCGAGCCAGTCGATACAGAATCTTTGGAAGAGAAATCAAGTATTTCGTTAGTTTTGCTAAGCCCAAACTATTCACTCCCTTGCCAAAAAAAGAGAAAGAGGGAGTTTCTCAAATACCTGGCATAATAATGAAGGACCCCTGTGGTTCCATTGCAACCAAACAAGCACTGAGAATGCTGGGAGAGTCTGCAGCAGAGATACCACACATTCTGCACATGTCTTTTAGTCTCTTACTAAGGGACTGAAGGTTTCGGCGACTCAGCAAACAACTCCAGTCTGAGAATACAAAGGATGTAAGTTTGTCTAGAAGAACAGTGCTTGCTGCAGAATACATATTTTATATATAACAGTGTGTGGTGCAAACTTCACATCTGTTAATATAGAATACACAAAGGAACTCTAAAATTATTTAGGTTTTCTTCCGGAGACCGGGACAGACACTTTATATTGTTGAAAAATGAAAGCTTCAAATCAAGTTTTAGGCTCTAAAAATGCTCACGTTACCTTTTAATTCCCCATGTCCTATTCTTCCCAAACGGCCTATTACAACTCTCCATGGCAAAGAGCTCATCTGCACAAGTCCCAGGCACCATTCCCAGAGTTTTTGAAGACCAAGTCTGCGGGCAGAACCCTTTTTCCTGCGAGCTCTAGAATTAAGAGGGAAGGGAAAACAAAGCTATAACATCTGCCACAAGTTTTTACGGCCACGTTTGGAACTTCTTATTTGTATTAACCTGAACATTCACAGGACCCAAGAATGTTAGTATTATAGTACATCAATTGCAACTTCGGTGTGTTTGTTTTTAGTCACATTCTAACACTGATATCAAAAGTCAGCACGTGTGCAGGGGGAGTATGAACACACACAAAAAAACACTCAAGAATCACATGAAACCAAATAATGTTCTTCTAAAAATTTAACTCAAAACAATATGCACATAGTATGGGAAATATCTGTTTGCTTTAGATAGTTTTGCAATACAGTGAGTCTACAAAAAAGTCAGAGTTATTCTTACAGCATCATAAACAAAATAATTCTTTGGGAGGGAAGGAAAGACGACACACATGTTAAAAGTTAAATTAACAGTTTTGTTCTTACCTGTTTGGTACATCAATATTAATTATGCAAGTTTCTAACTGTTCTCCATAGAGATCTGTACAGGATGCAAGAAGCCATCTTTGATCGTGAGATAAACAATAGCCTACAAAAAGTACGTTATACTTCTGGCCAGCTTCTCCAAAAGTTTCTCCTAGTTCTGTTTGCTTGTCCTTTACAGGAGCCAGTATAAAAGGAGGGGTGTATAGTCGAATACACTCGGGTCTCTATAAAGATGACAGAACAGACAATGAAGTTTCAGGAAGCAATTACTCCCAAGAACTCTAGTTAACGAGAAAGACTCCAGTGATTAACAAACAGGGACATTTCTCTGATCTGCGTATTTACACAAGCACGTTAACAATACTCACATCAGGGCTCTTAAGAGCAGTTTCCATGGCTAAACCTGGGCCAAAGCCAGTTAATGTTTTCACGTTGGTGGAAGTTGGAAGAGGTCTCCGACACTGAGTAAAAGCTGAAAATGCCAAGGATTTTAAATGCTGAGTGTAAATCTGACGGTCTTCGTGTTTCACAGGTTGTAGAAGGTACTGACATGGGACAATCTAGAACAGATTAGAGGGGGAAAACAATTACTGTTTCATCATAAGATTAAATGGCTTTTGAGATAGTATTTGGGTACACTGCTTTTACAATTTTACTTTACAGTCAAATTTCTCTGGTCCTTGGATATTTTCTGCCACTTCTTCCAAAGCTATGTGGGACTTCAAGCAATTATTCTCATTGAAATTTTCTTCCGAGAACAACAGGATTTGTTTAGAAGAGAATCTTAATGATTCCTCCAAAAAGATGCCCTCTGTTAACTAGTTTTGCAGCTGCTGACAGCATTACAGTTGGATGTCTATCAGGAAGGAGCACCATCTAAAGCCCAGCAGGGTCCAGCCGGTAGCACAGATTCCAGTGATGGAACAAGCAACTTTCCCCTACTTTGCTCGTTATTGGAGTGGCCCCTACATCTCCTCTGAGATAACACCAATGAGTTTGGAACCCACTACAGGATTTGGCTTCGGTTACTAATACCCAAACTGCGCTAAAAACTATAATCTTAATGATTTAACGTCTGTCGAACTGTGAGTCATGTTTACAAAGCAAATTAAACTTTCACCTTGAGGGCACTATTGCCTCCAAAACACAGCCAAAACCAAAGATACTTCGTTTGGCATGTTTCTATAAATGTTGGCTCACCTGCACAGAAATTATATTCTTGATGTGAGGAGGAAGAACCTGAACCATCTCTAAAAAGCAGCGCAGAAGTCCAAGAGTCCACAAACTAGATGAGCTACTGTTCTCATCCTTTTTTTCATATGTAAAAGGATCAATTATGTAAACTACAATTGCAGGTGGATAGGTGATAGCATGTGAATCTCCATCTGTAGGGACTCCAACTTTATCACGATCCATAGTGCTGGAAATGAAATTTTGAAACCAGTTACAAAAAGCTAAGTTTTATAATGATTTATGTTTACTTTAAAACTAAGATCAAATTGTCAAATATTAATCTGAAAGACCTTTGAGTCAACCGTGTTGTAAGAAACAGTCTTTTAACTCATTTTTATATGTGAGCTTATCAGCAACTCAGTATTGCTTGTCTTTTTTTTAGCCTTCTTCATTACAGAAGCTCAACAGCACATAGTTCTATTGCTTCAACTGGGAAACAAGAATACCTACAAGGTCAGTCTCTCAGTAAGAGCTGTCTTTACTACTGTAACTTTGATAACAGAAAGTAGAACTTTAAGATGGTGCCAGTTATCTATTCCCACACACACACACCCCTTTAAATGACAGAAGTGAGTAGTTTGGTGAAATTTTCTCTCTTTAGAGAGAAAAGAAAAAAAGAGAAAGTTTATTTTTGTACCTCAGCAGACACTGAGATGCAGTTAGAACTGCAGCTAAGACTGGAACCAAAAAGTTCAGCTCCACCATGAATGAACTCTCATTTTCCCTAAAAAGCAGCCTGGTGAGGAGAATAGAAATATAGGGTTTTTATCAAGGGGACAAGAGTGAGGCATTAATAGGTTCACATTCGTTGAGCTGAGGGGTTATTTTTAGCTGAAGAAGGTTTGACTCTGCAGTTCATTACCTTTCAGAAACCTCTGGATGGGGCTGTGCAGGTGCTGAAGTAGTATCTCCAGCCATCCCTGCCGTCTGCAGTGTTGGCTGTTGCTGCTGTCCTCCTGTTTGCCCATTTTGGACTGCTGCAGCCTGAGTGGGCAGGGAGGCAGAAGTGGTATTGTTCATACTGCTAAAAGGTGGAAATGAAGAAGGCTTGCTTGTTGGTATCCCACTGCCTATACTGGCAGAAGAGGAGGATGGGGCAGTGGTAGTCAACGTTGAATTAGCTGTAGTAGCTGCAGAAGACATGGCACTGTTTGATGTCACTGTCATAGTACTACTGGTGGGAGCTGCAGGAGCAGACGACGGAGTGTTAGGATTTCCAGTGTTAGCTGTCACTGAGGGCAGAGCAGAGGCTGGCTGGCTGGAGGGAGGGACCAGATTTGTTTGGGAAAGTAAAGAATTGTCCAAAGGCTGAGAAGCAAGATAAGGACCTAAAACGAGAAATAAAAAAAGCTTAAATTTTATATTGCAGGTATTTTTAAGGATACTTCATCTATGTAAGTCTATAGTTTTAACAAAACAGAGCAAACGCTTAGCGTCTCAAATTAGTAAAATTTGAGAATTTTACTTCTCAAATTAAAATACCTGCATTAAATTTTCAAATTCTAATATTCTCATAAGACTCCTTCAGAAATATCCAGAAATCTATTTTAAACATTCTTTTTTTCCAGCCATGCTGAATTGCTAGAAATCAGTGCTTCAGAATCTAAGTCACCAATACAAAAAGACAACCAAAGTCCCTGTCAGGCAGCAACACTGCCATTCCCTTAGATAATAAGAAGCCATTTTAGCACATAGCTAAATATATGGAGGTTTTGGATTTTTCTTTCCCCCAAGCTTAAAACCAGAAAACTGCAGCAAACAATACAACTCAATGAATAAATGCAATGATTTCCTCTTCTCTACCAGAATAGAGTAAGTAGGAATTCTATGAGATAAGAAACGTGAAAAAAAGATTCCATACCCAGCTCATATCTGCAAACTTGTGCATATAGTTTGAGTTTGGAAAATGCTTCATTGTTGGCATTAGCTGTCTGTGAGAACCATTCTGTGACCAGCTTCTCAGAAAGTTTCTTTGAAGCAGTAGGTCCAACTCTCATGATCCCATCAGGCAATAACTTACAGATAGGTCTGTGTTGACCAAGCCTGCATGACTGCAAAGAAAGTAAAACAGAAGATGCAAGATAACGAATTCGTAAGCCTTGAAAACTGTTAAATATCACACAAAAGTGCATAGAGACAGAGAACTCATAATTTAGTCATGATATTCCAAAGCAACATTTTAATTCTAGAATACTACACCAGTATGAAATATTTTACAGTGATTTTATGGTTTACTTTCAGATTTTCCTAAATGCAAGAAAAACAGGCTGATACATCATCTACTCTAGTCTTAATTACAATTCAAGTAATACATGCATTTAATTAATTAAATGTAGCTAAAACAAAGTGGTAATACAGAGTTTTACCACTGAGTGGCGTTTATCGGATAAAGACTCTCAAAACAGCCATTACTAAAAGGAATGGTGAGCAGCATGAACAACCCTTATCTTCAAAGTGCCCATTCCTAAAATCCTTTCTAGCAGCCGATACAGCGTTCTGTGCGTCTATATCGTCCGAGATAAGGCTGATAAGTAGTTCTGAGTATGTATTAGAAACAGTCTTTTGAAAACCCTTTTCACTGCTAACTGCCATGAATAATGTACCTCGTATATTGCAGTCAGATCCCTAAAGAAGCTTCTTGCTCCGTTGAGCAGAGCCTCATTCTCAGGGCACACCACAACATAAGCAACATCTCTTTGAGATCCGTAAGGTTCCAACATCAGCCTCTCCCAATACGGCAGTGCAAATGGAGACAGCACCAGAAAGTCATAATCATATCCCAACAAAAATGTTGGGATTGGCAGTGGTTCTGGGGACTCATCAGTTCCTGGAAAAGCAAGACACGTTTTCCAATATATTAAGCAGAAAGCTTAAAATTAACACCCTGATTCTAGGAAATATGAATAGAAAAAACACCAGCGTTCCCAGCATCTAACAGGAAGTAGCACTGATTATAAATAGAATAGTTCTCATTTTAACAGATACAAATGAAAAATCTGCATGTATGATCCAACCCTCTGCAAAAAAGCAACAGTGCATTATTTTTATTTGAAATCTCTCACAGCCTCAAAAAGAAGTTCCACGGTTGTTTAATATTTCTATCAGTATATAGACAATCAGCGACAGATCTTTACTGTCCAGGAAGCCTTCCCCACAGAGTGATCAAAAAGAGGGGAAAGATATGTAAATAGTCTAAGCAGATATGTAAAGGACCACAGAAGGAAAGAAAACACTTAAAAACATGCATTTACATGTACCCTAAATGTAGAATTACCATGTTCTAAATATATCTACAAAAGATCTGCTGGTGACAGGTCACTCTTCTACATAGTGGTAAGTCAATCTCTTATGCTAATGAAGTCAATCTAAATCTTGAGTGCACAACATTTACCTTGTATCTGTAAACGTGCATTGGCCAAATCTGCGAAAGTGTTGGCCGCTCCAAATATTGATCACAGACGACGCACTGGATAACCTCAGATCTACAACATAGATCTGAAACTACTGAGCAATAAAGCACCCTTTGCAAGCATCTCAAAGCTAGTATTTTTAACTATGCTATTTTTTTAGTAATTAAAGCAGAGTAATTCTTTTGAGTAAAAAAAACCCACAGAAATTACTGGTTTTAACATTAAAACCACCTTTGCAATTTCAGTCCCTCACTTGGAGAAGTGTCAGGTGCATATAAACACAGCAATTGTAGCTGTTAATTTTAAATACACATATCTTGAATTAATTTACTGTTTTAAATAATATAAATATTTTCTGGTTTTCTGACAAGAAGATTCTCCCCTGTCTAGTAGGTCTTGTTAGTTTAAAAGAAAGGTCAAATGCTGTTTAGAATTCCAACAGGCTGCACAGCATCGAGACACTGAGGTTTGGTGGCCGGATCAAGTAGAGATTAACAGACAAGAATCCACACAGCAGTTTACCGTAAGAGCCTCTGCCAGCCATTTTGTGAAACTGTTGCCATGTGAGGGGACCTTGCACACCCCAAGACCGGACCGTTCGCTTTTTCTGAATTGCGTCCTGAAGTACTGGCTGGAGCGAGAGGAGCATACGAAGGATGTCCTGGGAACACTGCATGCTCACATCCACAACTGAAAGGACAAAAAAATTGTCAAGGCCTACCGCAGTAACAGGATACAACAAAGCCCTCCACAAACAACCCAAAATCCTAAACCACCTTGATTTTAAACAAGGTCACTGTCTTCTGAAACGTACACGCCGGCCACCCAAAGGCCATGATATAAAAAAGTTAAGCACACAGACTTAGAGTTCTCCTTCTTCCCCTCTCAGCCACTTACAAAAAAAAACAAGATGATTTTTTTTTTCCCCTGTAGAGTTTTTTCCCTTGAAAGCCTTACCATCCAATGATTTAAACTAAGGGCAAAAAGCCTAAAATTAAAAAAAAAAAAAAAAAAGCAACAAACATGCATGTTGTACAACATCCTAAACTATAGGGCTGTCCCTCCAAATAAAGGATGGTTAGGCAGATTGCCACCCAGTGCTCACTTCACAGAAGTCAAGGGAAGCCTGAAACAGTCACAGCCCGTTCCATCAGCTTGCCACCGCTATGCCATTTAATGTACAGCGTTCGAGAATAAAAAGCTGACACAAAATTTGGTATGGCTGTAACTTCACAGCCTTCCCCTTAAAAGTATCTTACATCTTTTTATCCTACATACCAATGTCACAGTAACACTGAGTCTTCTCCTGGGTGCCTGAAAACATTGTTTTATCCATAGCCTGGGCTTTTGAACTTAATCCCCCACCGACACACAGAAACTTAGCTGTGTTTTACTGTTAGTCCTCCTCATCCTCATTAACAGCTATGAATCGCAGCTAACTGCTATCAAAGTTTCACATTTTACTGTTCATTCTGCTAGAGTTGCTACTTGAAAAGACTGTTATTGAGCGGAGAAGTATGCAAATACACACAACAAAGGGTATTCCATGAGACAATATGTCATTAGCCAGGCCCTAGAATGAAAAAAGAAAAAAAAAGAAAAAAAAAGAAAAAAAAAAGATCTCTGGAGATCCCACATACAGTGAAGGCTACAATAATGCTTTATTTGCCACACACGCCATTAAACTACTGCTGCTGCCCCCTTAAAGACGGGGGGGAAGCCAGCTGAATCATAGATCTTGTTTAATTCTGCCTCAGCAGCTTTGACAATACAGTCACCATTTGAACCACCTACACTTCCTATGTACACTCATTCCACAGAGCCTCTGTAGATGCAGTCGCCAAAAGCTGCTTTAAAAGAATAAGCCTAGTGAAGTGTTGTGGACAGTTACTGTGGTCTTACATTACACTTCAAATTTATGTTAGGAATTTACAACTGATGGTAGCCAAGGCCTATGCTCTGCTTGGCGTATCATACCAGCACAGAACGCAAGAGGAATGGTTATTCTGAACACCATTAAAATCAAAGTTTACGAAAGCAGGCGGGTGGAAAAAAAAAAAGTCTTAAGCATCCAATATTCACAAATGAAAAACACAAAACCCAAACCCTTAAAAAATGTTCACAGGTGGACAAGTAGAAAGTAAGTTGTTTTCAGTATTTACCGTTTCTTTTTGACCAGTGGTGTAAGCAAGTAGTTTTCACAAGTGCTTCATCAACCTTCCCTCCTGACATATTGTCCATGAACTGCCGTCCATGTTCCAAGGCTAAGTAGCAGTCATTGCAACAATCCCTTTCTTCAACACGTACCAGGTTGCTAACTGCACCAACTTTAGGAATGGAATCTTGATCTGCTGCTCCAAACGGTGAGAACAAGTTGGTGCATTGATCCTGCAGCAACAGTATTAACTCATCGGGCAGTTTGTCAGGTTCTTTCAGTCCTCCACTGCCATGTTCAATAGAAGTAGCTCTGAGAGCTTCAAAGCGTTTTTCTGCTTCTTTGCCACACTCTGTATTACGTCCTAGGATATCCAATTCATCTTCAAGGAACAGTCCAGAACTGTTGCCAAATTTTCTATTCATAACAGCACTGAAACCACAGGTACATCTATACTGGGCCTCTTGTGTTGGATCAGGAATGTAAACTCCAACATCAGCACCTTTGATGTTCATATTGCAAACACATATGCAGCAGCTGTCAAAGTTACAGTCTTTGAAGAGATTCATTACAGACTCTGAGAGGATGAGATTCACATAAAGACTGTGTGCCTCTGGAATGGAAGGCACAGTTGCAGGTTCAACAGAATTAAGCGGTCTGCATGTTGATGGTGTGGAAGCTGGTGAGTATAAATCGGAGTTCTCATATTTGACTGAACCCTGTGCACTTGCAGGTCCACCAGCTCCACGAGGTGTTCGAGGAGTCCTCGGTGTTCTAGGAGTTGGGAAACGAGGGGTGGAAGGAGAGGGAAGAATTCCAGCTCCACTGTTACTGGGAGGTGCACTACTTGGTGGCATCCCAAACGGAGTATGAGTTTGCGGCGTGTATGCAGGGCCATACTCTTGATCCATAGTGCTTCCATCACTAATAGCAGCCATAAGAAGAAGGAAATACTTTAAGTACACAGCATACTGGTTTTGAAATTTTAAGTCTCAAATTTCTGAAGAAGAACCTTCCTAATTAATATTTGCTTTTTTAAGCTAGTCTTTCGTAATCCACAGCAGAATTTTCATTCCCTAAAGAACTTCAAGAGCATTAGCTCTTCAAGACTTTGCAGGACTCCCACTGACAGCACTGTTAAAGAATCTTTTCCCACCTCCTTTCGCCTCTTCCTTTGCACAAAGCTTCCAAGAAACAAGTGTGGTCAGAATAAATGATAAATTCTGTGGTTGTATGGAGTCTAAAGGACACATTTTCATTCATGTTTTATTTACACATTGTATTGACACACACTAAGAAAAATATACCATGTCTATCAACAGCAGGTTCAGCTGGATCCATGAGGAAAGCATCACCTGGAAACATTTTCTTTCCTAAACAGCTGAGTATGTCTAAAGACCTATAAGACTAATGAGACCTGGAAACATGTTGCTTATGAATGAACCTAACAGAAGCAATGTCAGGATCTACTCTAAGATTTACCAGTCATGTAATTTTATCAATAAATACATAGCCTCCTTGTTGCCTAATACATTTATACCAGCTACTAATGCAAAAGAGAAAGAGGAGTAAATATTTTCTTCAAGAAGATCTGCCAGCAAGACCATCACTACCAAATGCAGATTACAGAAATGCCTACTGCAATACTACTGTTACCAGGCAATGTCACACTAGGCATAGCTTCCAATCAAAAGAAATGTCCTCCTAGTCCCAATACAGCTGAGATTACTGCCATTTAAGAAAATTATTTAAGAAACAGAAGCACCACCTACTAAGCCCTTAAAGTACCTACACCACCACCACAAGAACAAAGTCCCAAGTTTACATTTATCTTGGTTGTTACCATCTTCATTACTTGTTAAAACTGGACTTGCACCATTAAGCTTCCCTAAGAAACCTTTAAGTGAGACAATGAATAAAATGTATGCACAGTTAAGAAGCTATTTGAGAAGACAGTCTGTTACAGTAAGGTTTAATCATGAGGACTTTTTTTAAAGGCTCTTGTTGTATAAACACAGTGTGTCTTTACAAATATTTCTCATTACAGATCTAAATAAATAATTAATTTAGGGGTACTTCCTGTAGTGTGGCTAACTGACCATCTTACAAAGCTTAAAGATTTAAGCTGACCACCTTACAAAGCTTAAAGATTCTATGATTTGTGGCACAGGTCATACCCATCTTTGATGAATGGCATGGCAGGTCCCGGGGGAAGTAAATCCAACTTCCCCACAGTCCAACTCTGGCGATAAATGCATTCTTCTGGCAGTTTGATGGGAGGAAGACACTGGCTGGGAAGAGTCTTCAGTGGCGCAAACATGGAACATCCCACTAAAGCTTGACAATTCTCAGGTTTATAAACATAAGAATAATCCTAGAAGTTAGACATGGTAAAGCATCAGCATGTAAATTAGATCATTTCAGCAATTACAATGCTTCTCAAAAAAATGTGACTAAGTTCAAGCATTAACTCTTTAATGTGAAATCCTGATATAGCTGCAAAAGGGAAAGTTAGATTTATACACACATCATTCACCCCGTGGTTCTCCAAAAAGAAATATGCCAACACAAAACAATTAACTACAATTACTGAAATGTACTCCTTCAGCTTACTAATGGCCAATTATGTATTACTCTTTCTTGAAGTAATCAAGTGATTACTCTATCACTTGAAGCTTAAGTGATAAAATCCTATATACCACTTATTAGAACATTCATTACCTACCCCAGTATAATGCAGGACACAAGTTACAAATTGTACTGAATTTCCCACAGTTCCTATTCATGATCAAGTAATAAACTGAAGAATAATCATTAGAAACATTTATCAAGACTATCAGCACTACCTACCTTTATTTCAGCAGGTTTGGGGCTGCAGAAACCCTCATCTACTTCAATTCTGAACTGAGCTCCCACACTAGAGCTATTCCCTTCAAGTACTGTTCCTCCAAGTGTAGTGTCCATACTGCCATATTCTTTATTATTCATGTTCATTGGAGAAAATCCCATAATATGTTGTTCCAATGAGGGTGGAGTTGGATACATTTTATGGAGATCTGCAGTGCCTAATTTCAGATTAGAAGTAGGATTTAGAGCATGAAAACATTTTGAAGTATTTTCTCCGTCTTAAAATTTCAGTAGGGCAAGTGAAGTGTATGTGTACAAATTCCCACAACATATTAACAATCAAATGTTTAGAGCTAGTATTCTATTTACAAAAAACACAAATAAAGCTTACTTATGCATGACAGTGGGTCTAGATTTCCTGCTTTTGCCTCTTTGCAGTTGGATTTGTCATCAGCACCATTCACTGTTCTTTTAGATCCAGGCTAAGAAAGAAAAGAAGTATTGTAATATAATCACTTCAGACATGAACACACGTTCGTATTTCTTGCTAACAGGACATTTCATGTGCAATGAACATACAAAGCTGAGACACCGTAATATTTAGAAAAATTAAAATAAGTCAGAAGCCCAATGCTAGTAGTTGGGGTTACTCTTGTCCTCCCTTAATAGCTGTAACTCAGAGAATGCTCTCCCATCAAGTCATGATGCTATTAAAATGAAAGACCAGTTATAAAGTAACTCTCAGCCTGTTAGCAGACATATTAAAAAAAGCTAAATAAGGCTGCCCACAATCTATCAGAAAAAAAAAATACACACTCCCAAAGCCATGCTAACATTACTGATGTTACCACATGAACAGGAATAGAAAAGATAGAGAAACACAAATCCTGGAACAAGAGGTACAGGGAAGAAAAGCTGTTGAAATTAAAAGAACAAGAGATATTTTACGATGTTTAGACAGTACTAAAGTCTATAGAAAATAAGAGTCTTCAGGTTTAAAAGCAAATACACTTGCTTTATACAATGATGACCTTTGATGGCTATTAAGATCCTTCAGCCCCTATTCAGCTACACCTCCCATGCAAAGTTGATGGGCATTTTGTCTGCTTAAAGAGATTTAGAATTAAGTATGGAGCAAAGTACAGTTCAGAAAAAGACAACTGATTACAAACTGTATTGAAATAGAAACTAGAAAGATAATATTCAGAGCTATCAGAGACTGCAAGAGAAACTGTTCCAAGAAAATAGCTGCTGCAGCGAAGCAGCTTATTTGGCAGAACATCCACGTGTTTAAATGCCTCTTCTCTTTCAGAAGTTTTCATTTTGTTTCAGTACAGTATCCTTTATTGACTAGCTGAATAGAACCTAGACCATAAGGAAAAGAGCACTAGTACCACTATCAAATCTGTAAAATTATAACTAAAGGTGTATTCGAGAAGGATACGCTGTCTGGATAGTAAGGATGTAAGATCAGAAGCTTGTTTGTATCAAAATGTGATTGTAGGAGTCAACCAGAACAGTATGTCTGCTCTAGAGGAGCCACGACACTTGCTTATATGCGTTTCAACCTCTCCTACAAATGCCAAAAAACCCAAGCCAACCCAAAACCACAAAAAAACATAATTGTTTCTTGCAGGTTTTTGTCTAGCAGCTGCCATTACATTTGCACATCACTTACTGTTAGTTCATCTTCATCAGAATTGAAGAGATTGTCAAGGTCAGTGTAAGAGACCACTAAGTCTGTTTCATGGAACAGGCTAGTTGATGCAGTGCGAGCATGAGCAGCAATACGTTGGGCATCTACAAAGAAAAACAAATGTTACAAAAACACTGGCAATATATATTCATTAAAAAAAATAAAGACATCTTAAGAACTATTTCCACAGTTAGGGTGGAGGGAAGAGTATGTTCTCAGTTCCACTCAACTATCTTACACGTAAGTGAGGTCCCTTCAAATTTATAACATTTGGATTTATAGCCAACATTTATTTGCAAGGTGCAACAAAGCAAATGTGTTCCATGCAGATTCCTAATTCTGAAAGGACAAGGAAATACAACCCATAAAGTAAAAGGTTAGGAGCCTATTAGAATCTATTGACTATTCAAGAGATCATTAACATCGCACAATTAAAAGCAGAGGGAGAAAAAGTCTCTTTACCTTGCTTGACAGAAGGACTAAATAGAGACATCGCATCCTCTCCTTCATGGGATAAAACTGTAACACCAGATGTCCCATCCTCAGCCTATTTAAAAAAAAAAAAAGGTAGAGAAGTTTGCTTAAATTCACTGGGGAGGTGGGGGACAATTTACCTCCCTATGGGAATTCTGGTACATATCAGAAGTATCAGGTTGTCATTAGCCTTCTAGCTCAGCCAGGTGTAGTCTGGGGGTCTGGTTAGTGGTACTTGCTCAGGGAGAAGGAAGCTTGGAATAGACACCATGCCAGCAACACGCAGATATGAATGTGTATTTTAGGTTTTGGGGTTGGGGATAAATTTAAAAAGCAAGCTATGGATTCTTGCTACAACACCTTATTGAAAAACACTTGATATCAAATGCTATACATTAACTATACTGGTTATTGAATGAAAACTCTCAATACCAGGAGTACATACAGACACAACCAGTCCTAATAAAGAAATTTCTTTCATATACAAGTTCCCAATGCATTTATATTTTCTCCTTTTTTGGAGGGTGTACTTTTGTTTTACGTAGCAGCCTCATATAGCTGGAAGTGGCTAAAGCGCAAGACAAAAGAAAAATAATTCAATTCACTGTCCAGGCAACCAGCCGGAGTTCACTTCACCTACCCCCAAACCTTTCCACACATGAACAAAGCACTTGCCTTGCTCCTCCTCTCTTCCCTAAGCACCTGCTACCACCCATTTCTACAGAACAGCTACTGAGCCGGACTGATTTTTGTTCCGATCTAGCAGTGTTCCCCCAGTACAAGCATAAACCCTAACGCACGAGCATCACCAGTGTGCCAAAAAAGTTTAGGTGTAGCTAGAGGCAGGCTGCATAATTTCATTGATCATTTCAGCTAGAATACATTTTTTTAAATGTACTTCTAAATAGACAGGGAAGGATTCAAATTATATTTGGTGACTAAAGCAGTTTGTTTTAACCTCATCACCGATTTGTATCCTCACTCCTTTACTCACCTTGTGTTTCTTCCCAGCTTCCCTCTCAATGTTCTGCCTATCTTTTTTACTATCAGGAAATAAGAATTCCACATCACCATCAACGAAGGCATAAGGATCGATTTCAGGTTCCTGGTCAGCTTCCATCGCTACTGCTGCTAGGTATTGGTTTTTACTCTGATACTGCTGCACCAGTTCATCTGAAACCTTTAAAGGTTTCCTACATTGCACCATTAATCTGTACAGAAGAAAAAAAAAAGTCACAAAATATTATTTATCATTTATAATGTGGAAATATTTTTGCTATCACACAGCCTTTACAAGAATAACTTCATCTTCCCTTCCGACTTTCTTCCTTTCCACCCCAGCTTCAGACAACTTTTTGGGAAAAAGATTAGATCATTATTCATTTAATATAACCTCCTTACACATGTCAGATACAGCAATGTAATTCATTCTGCCCATCTCTCCACAAGCACTGTCAATTCAGATAAAGATTAGTAATTTATCCCAGGTTGTAGCTGTCATTTATTATAAAGTACAAATGTATTAAACTATCTATAGCCACTAAAAAACCCACCAGGTTAAAAAAATTACTCATTGCCATTCCCCATCCATGCCCAAAAAAGTGATCAGAAATAAGGGATTAAACCTGAATTTTCTGTATTTTAAGAATGTAATTCCTGAACATTTAATTCATTTAAGCATAGAAAGTATGCCAACCCTCGCAACAGCCGGCTTTGTCTAATACAACAAACAGACCAACACTCTGTTGTACACAAAGCCAGGCTAACCAAAAAGCCCAAGCAATGACCACTACTAAAGCACACAAATGCCACTATGTTTAGTAGTTATTTATATCACTTCTATCAATACAAATGAAGCTTGCAACACAGCAATATCTAATGTACTAATAAGAGTAATAAAAACATATTTTTGTAAGCATTTTTCTTTTCTTAAGATTTGGAGACAAAAATGGAGTTCTTAAGTACACAGAAATTAAGTTTTTGTATCAGGTTTATTAGCTTCACAGATATAACACTGCACCAACAGAAACAGATATTGGCAACTGGAAAACTATGTTATGCTTATTAGCTATACATATGCCCCTCTACCTTCTGCCCCTAAAGAAACTCTATTTTCTGTATCCCAGTATACAAAAGGGACCATGGGAGAAAGGTATTCCTTCAAAGACGACAAGTATGTCAGGAGTGTCAGACTAACGTAGGCACACAATTTCTTCTTGCCTCAAGAACCCCTTCCCTCCCAAACAGCAACAGAATGACCAGTGAAAAGCATTTACAGAAGTCTCACGCATGAAATGAAAAAGGGATGTTGCAAGGACGAAGACTACAGAGGGATACTTCAAGTCCAAACGCAGGTTCCAACATATCTATTCTTTCCCTTCTCAAGCCTCTATCCAAAAGGAAATGCTATCCCGTAAGAAACTAATGTGTCTCACAATTAGTAGGGCTTGTTGCAGCTTAGATGCAGACTCTAATCTGGAGTTTAGAGTAAGACAGGTTTATATTTCCCCCTCTGGGAGACCAGAGAGAAAGAAAAGCCTCATACAGAACAATTCAATTGGAGCTCAGCCTTGAAACTGTGCACACAAAATGCACGGCAATTCCTCGTCCTCCCTGCTGCCTTGCACATCCCTGTCAACTATGCGGTATGAGCCAGGACACAGAAAGTTTTACTTTGTCAAGAAACTTCCTAGAAATAAGCTTTCCAAGAAGATGCCTCACAGCCAACAACATTGTCAAATCCATCTAGCTGGTCATCTGTGCTTAATAAAATCTTGTGTTTGGCATGACCACCACAGCATGCACACCCCAGACAACAGGGCAATGGGTGCAGCCTTGTGTCAAGCACCATCAGCATTTATGTCTAGAGTAGCACTTGATGGAATTGAGGATCTCCTTTTTTCTAAATCCTGCAAAAAAATTATCGGGGGGGTGGGGGAGTGGGAAGAATGATGGGAACAACTCTCTCGGAACAAAGAATTAAACACCAGGAAAAATACATAGCGAGAGCAAGTAGCACTTTCCAGTATTTTTGACCACCACAGAGGAAGAGAAGTTAATAGCCAGATACTCAGGGTGGGGTGGGGGGGGAGAGTGGAAAGTATGTTCAGTAAGTTGTTAAATAAAGCTAGAAGCCATACAAGAAAATTTTGAAGTAGAGCATATCTTTCTCTGTCTGGTTGGCTAAAATGAATTCAAGGCAAAAAAAAAAAACCCACAAAACAAACAACAAGATTCTATAAATGCGTATCTTGAAAGAGTTGAGACATGTACTAGCTAATGTAAACTCTTAAATGGTGAACATAAAAGATATGGCTAAGAAAATGTGTACAAGAACAGATCAACAGCTACAGCATATTTACTTCTTCTCACAGCTTTCCTACGCAGCAAGGTCAATGTGACTGCCATCAGTGGCTTTCCACTGCCAGCAATGAAACAGAAAATTAACATAAAATTTCAGTCTTGTGAATAGCTGCTTCAACTCTTCTACCACAAATTAAGTACACTAACCCCTAAAAAAAAAAAAACAAACAAAACACAACCCACAAAAAACCAGCAGAAAAGAAAAAACCCTCAATATTTTGATACTGATTACAGTAAGAGTCGTCTTCACCTCAACAACAAAAAATTTTGGGCCAAAAATAATCAACAGCAAGTGTGTTGATTGAGGCAACTCTGGGTGCATTCGAGATGCATTTTTTAAACCCGCAATCACAACCCTAAGTCAAAGTTTGTCACCTCTGCGTCCAGGTCCCAATCACGTTAAGCTCACATGTCAGCATCTGTTGCTTCCCGTTACCATCCTTCTCCTGCAGCATGTCCTCACAAGGAAGTGTTGTAAAAGACGGATGACAGGAATAATTTCTTACGCAGTACAACAGCAAAGGAGACACAACCCAGAAGGCTGAATGGTTTCAGGTTTTTTGTTCTTATGTTGGGCTTTTTTGTTTGTTTGGTAGTGGTTTGGGGGTTGGGGGGGGGGGGTATCTTTTCTGGGGAAGTTTTGCTTTAATTAGTAAAGAAAACCCATGTTGATTCATTCTGCAGTAAAACAGAGCTCAAATGTAAGTTTTAACACTAAAAAAAAAAAAAATCACTAGTGCTATTCTTTCCCTCCATTGCCTCTAAGCACCATAATTAAAACTTAGGCAGTATTGAAGAAAAAGTGACCAATTCCCTTAACCCGACTGAAACAGAGAGCAGCAAAGCAGAACATGTTAAAACCTGGTGCTAGGTGACACTAGCTTTCAGAAATAAATTCCATTTATTCAACAAAAACCTTTTTTTAAATAACTATAGATGACCCATACTTTAATTCAAGGCAATATTAGCTTACGTTAAATACATACATGTTCTCAAATACATTTCCTGTAGCTCAAAGGCTAAAGTTCTAACAAGGATCTAGTCTGACTGTCTCAATATTTCAAGTTAAACAAACTTTGTTTAATGAACAAGGGTTTCCCACGTGATCTGAGGTCCAAGAGCAGTAACAATAGACATACCAGTCACTTGTTTTCTTTGAATGATAACCTCAAATCCTTAAGCCTCATGTGAGAGTATGCCAGTTTATGTCACTCATCCCAAAGAGAAACTTCTGATACTAGAAAGTAGTTGCAGCCTACATTAAAGTTAACGTCTTCCAGGAAACCAGATTAAATGGCTGATGGGAACAACGAGGAAGCTAAACACCAGCTTTCAAAATTTAAGGGCTCTTCTAAATAAAGACAGAAGCAGAACTGAGGTTGAAGAAACTTTATCTTTAATAGAGTAAGTCTGCATCTGAGACCATCCATGCGTTCTTCAAATAATGAAGAAAGCAAGTATTAAAATGAGAATTTTTTTTTTCTTTCATGTGGGACTAAGTCCCAAAATAGGCACAATTTGTCTACAGATTAATTTTACAGTAGAAAAATAAATTTCATTGACATCTGCTAAAACAGACTTCTAACAAGAAAAAGCTGGAATGTCTTACTACATATTTGACTTCATACTCACATTTCACAAGTATAATCTTCTTGTATATGGACAGCACAGATAGTTACTCTCACACACTCAGCATTACTGCTCGAGCTGATGAGACCAGCATTATGCTTTAGTGACAAGCTTGCTTATAACAAGAAACTACTGCCTTTAGCCTTCGTTTCCTCACTTTCTCACGTTATCACCATAGTATTAAGCACTACTTACTCTGTAACTGACGTTACGTTTTCCTGTCCAGCAGGTATTACTGGATCATCTCTCAACTTATCATTTGGAAGCTGAGGTGGTAAAAATTCCACATCCTTTTTCTTTGGAACTTTATAATACTTCCAAGTAGCATCAGCCTCGTCTTCCTCCAAATTCACTGCAGTACCAACATACATTGTAGGCTCTATAACTTCAGGAAATTGAGCTGGAAAAGGCTGAGACAAGCCATCGAGTCTGTCTTCCATTGTTTTTGTGGGAACCAAGGGGTCTGGTGTTGGCATCTGGTAGAAATGCTGACTCTGAGGAGTAGAAGGAGCTTTAGCTACCCCTTCATCAACTACATCACACGGGTGAGGACTAAGTGGTGGTGGCTGAGGTGAATTTGCCATTTCAGCATTATGCATCTGAGGAGTCTTTGCTACATCATTAGTTCGGATATTTGAAAATCTCACTTGACTGTCTGGTGCAGTCATCACAAGCCTCTGACTCGCTGAATCTGCCTCCATGGCAACATCATCACTGATAGATACACGATGATGAAAAGGAGTCAAAGGGCGTTTTTGTGGCTTATCCCCTTTGTCTTGCTTCTCATTTGTCTTGTGCTTTGGAGCTGCTTGCTGTTGTTGGCCCACAGGTGGTGCCTGCCCCTGTTGACCTGAATTTCTTGGTTTGAGATTTTTGTGCCTGCAGAATTAATATAAGGGAAAATACTTCACATTAATCTTTCAACGTCTATCATGTTCTTTTTCACTAGATAAGAACCCGCTTCTAAGCCATTAAGCATAGAAATCTGAAACTTATACCACTCTGAAGTGAAGCTGCCTCTTTCTGACCATAACTTAGATTTGAATGACTTGAGTAGCATTGCAAGACTTTAGAAGGCCATTTGAAAAACCTGGAAAAGTTGTCCTATGAGCAAAACACACACACACATATCATCCTCATAACTAAAGACAGTATTTTATAACTGCTTTTAACAGAAATAGTCACATGAATACATTGTCACTTTTAACTTCTGCCAACACTGATGAATCAGTAGAATAACATATGAATTAGTGGACAACTTCTTGAATTCAAGCATCAATACTAACCAATAGTGCTGTCCAAGTCTCTATGGGTTAACGAGTGGAAAGTTAACATCAAGAACATAGAAGCCAAGCTCAGTCCTACAAAAGCTATTTTGAAGCTTTTGTAGCTATTTACCTACAAATTTAGCAAGTGTGGAAAAAAGAAAAACTCAATGTCTCGACTGCATTAATACAGTTAGGTTTTTTCCCCCCCAGTATAAATGCACTTGAGCTTGAACATTTCATTTTTAAGTTCAAGATGCCAACTTTCTAGATCATCTGACTGAAGTAGAGACATGAAATACCAAAGTCTAGAATTAAAAGTTTGTGATTAAGCTATTGAACTGCATGTACATCCTTAGTGCCTGGGTATTCTTTGCCACTCTTCCATTAGGAAAGGTAAGAAGCAGGCAACTTGTATTAAAACAAACAGGATCAGGCAGGAATAAAAAGGTAAGAGGTATCAAAATCTATTTTTACCTTAAATTCTCATACACATACATGTTTTTCACCACTTAGAATTCAAAATACAGAGAACAATAAGGGGTTTTAAGTCTTTGCAATTTCTCTTCAGGCAACTACATACTTCCAATGCACACCTCACACAGTTAATAGATTGTTTTCTCTTAATTAGTTCTATCATATCTAAATTCTCCTTTAACAGGATATTTAATCCTCTTCCATCTCAGCTCTTCTCAGGACACAAGTATTTCCACAGATCTTAAAGCAACCATTTCAATAAAGGAGGGAAAAAATGCATTTATTTCAAAATGCTATATCCTCCAGACTTTTTTTTTTTTTTTTTTAAGATTCCAATATTCATTGCAAGGTAATCAATGTTAATATTTAAATCAGAGAAAGCGTTTAAAACTTTGCAGCACTTCAGTCACCTAAAGATTAGTGTTCTGCCATAAGCACAGAAATAGAGACATTAATTTTGGTGAATTCTCAATTTTAAACAACTGTATTAACAGTCTGTGTAACTGCACACAGTTTCAAAACAAGTGTCATAACAAAAACTGGAAGTTAAATTCAGACTTTCCCCCTGTGTTTTGATCCTCCTTCTTCCCCAGCTAATATAAAAAAAACACCATATACTGGCAATCAACCCACAGAAAAGCAGTTTTATATACAACCACCTATGGAATGCCGTATTTTCCAAAAAGTAAAGCAGGTTTGGGTTTCCTTTTCATATTCATCACGACACAATGCTACAATCATCTTGCTTAACAGCTTTCTCCCTTCAAGGCTAATGCCACAGCCCTCTAGAAAAGGTTCTTAATTCCTAAATAAACAGGCATTCCCTTTCCACTGCAGCCCAAGAAAGTTGCTGTGAGATCATTTCTACCCATACACAGGCCTAAGGAGTCCCAGCCCAAGACTCAGATATTGTCACTGAACTGCCAGTAGGTCCACTCAGATGAGTCACTTGAATAAAAAAACCTCTGCACTATCTTATTGGGCAGAGTTTCAAGACCTACAATGATATTTAGGATACAAGATACAAATTTTGTTACAGCTTTCCTACAAGCAGCTATTGCTTAATTACTCCTAAAGGAGTCATCATGAGCCCTCTCCTGAGCACTTCAATCTCAATGTACGTTGTTGGACTGCAGGCTTGCCAAGTACTGCACCTTGAACAATTGCAATTTGTCCTCTGCGTGGCTTCAACAAAATCCCAGGATGCTACCTTGTCAGCTGTCTCTTCATCACACAAGCCATTTGATGTAGCAGAATACTTCCTCCTATGATTCAATATCAGGAGAGTTATTTGGGATCAACATATGTTCTTTCCTTATCTTCTGTTAAACCTCAAGAACAGTTTTGTGACACAGGATTCAGCAAAGAAATTACAAATAGCCTTTTACTAACATATTAAACTGAGAGCTAAGCAAACTACTAGTTAGGAACAAATTAACTTTAAAATGTTTTATTACTAAGAGTAAAGTACTTTCTACTAGCAGTCACAGCATCTTGAACAGAACTACTTTCTACAACAAACATGCAGGATACCATGGGGTTTTTTTAGCTTCACAAAATGAGTACATACTTGTTCTGTGCTCTGTTCATATTGCATTCTTGCCAAACTCTGTCCACCACTTGATTGGCTAGCTTCCTAGGTATTTTGCCACCATGATGGCTAGTACTGTCAGAGATAAATCCATCAGAAACTGAAGAAAACTTCACCCATTTCTGGGCAGATTGAGCATCAACTGAAAAGCAGCATCAGAGGAAAGAGTTTTAGGCAACCAGGCGATACACTCACAACCACTATTACTCCAATTCAACCACCACACAAACATCTTAGGAAGAAAAGTATCTTCTTAACTCAATGTTAGGAAAGAAAAACAAATAGAAAATGTAGGTACAGTGGTTGATTATTATAACATGGTTCCCCCTCATAAGAAAAAAGCAGCACCATGTATGTTTATGTTATAACTGGGCTGACTATTCTTTATCTTCCAAGAAACTATAGACCTGAAAAAGATAACAACATTGCTCATACATCAGGAAAACTTGAGTAAAGCTGCCTGTTAGGAAATTTAACAGTATTATTAAAATAAAGGGTCAAACTAAAGGTAACAGAAGACTTTGGGGGGAAAACACAAACAAAACCTCCTCTGCACAAGAGGAACAGTTTGTAAAGCCACCTGAAACTACCAGTGAGCCTTACCCAATTTGACTTAAAGCAGTTTACCATAACCACTCCTCACACACAGTTCAGAGGGCACAAAGCCTTACTGGAAAAACTTAGCTACAAAGAATCTTCCTTGGACTGCGAAAAAGGTGAAAACATCACCTTGCTCACTAATGACTGCGATGCACAATGAGGTTTATAAAGCTGTGCCAGAATGCATACACGCACAGAGGGGGAAAAAAACCAAAACCAAAAACATGACCACAGAAATTTAAAGTACTGGATAACAACATCAGGTACAAAAGCAGTCCTCATTTCAGCAACTTAAAACAGCGTTCAACTTAATTTTGCCCAAACCTGAACAATAAAAATTGTTTTTACTACAACAGATTTATGACTAAAGAAGTGTGATTTTTGGTAACAAGTCAGTTGCACAGAGAACATCTGAATTCTTTCCAAACACTGCTAGATTTAAAGCAGAAACCATCAAAATGATTCCCCACATGCAGAAGCTAATTTTATGATACCTGTTTGAACTTCCTCTGGGGATGTGGGTGGAGTCAGAGTTACTGAAGACATGGCAGGATCTCTTGTGGAAGCAGGCACTTGGTGGACACCCAAGCAAGTGGTTGAACAGTGCGATGCCCCTACGGTGCTAGGAGCAGGGATGTCTGTCTGAGGAACTAGAACGAAGCATGCTGGGTATACCATTCGCACACCAGCTGAAAAAAGAGCATGTCAATTTTACAGTCAATTGCCTAAAACTTATGTTTGAAATAATCAACAAATGGATCATTTTACCACTGACTTCTAAGTTTTCCTACCCTTTCTACCTAACTAAAGCATTATCCTTGGACAAAAAGTCTCTGTTGTCACCCTCATCATTACTTTATGATTTGCTTTATACAGAAGATTTGGGTGAATGAATAAAAAGGGCTTTGTATATACAGGCAGACACAGCCCTGGCATTTATATGCTACTATTTGCTTCCATCATTTTTTTATAAATAAGGCTGAGAACATACTCTTCAGTCTCAGGTAAAACTGACAATATTCCCCTTCCCATCATCATCAGGGTCTCCAGCCATCACTGCAATACAAGTCGGTAACACTCATTACAGAGAAATTATTACATTAGTTGGCAAATCAAAGGTCAATAGCCCACAGCAGAGGAACAAACTACAGCATCCCAGGGGCTTAGATTTTAGGAACAGCAGAAGCTAAATGCAGTGCCCGAGTACATTAAGTTCTCCAGGATTGTGGTTTTGAAGACATCCCTGAAAGGCAGAATCTGAAACAGTACAACATGCTTTTGATGAATTTCAGATGTCAACAGTGATAGTGTAGGGTTTTTTGATTTTTTTTTTAAATAATTTATTTATTTTAAAAACAATCTTGCTTGTCAAGGCACATAGAGAAAAACACCTCCCACTAACAGGCCCGCAAAACCCACTTTAAGCAGCAACTCACTCTAGATAGTCCTAAGTAGAAAATCAAGAGACCAACAGCAGTTGCAAATAGTTGCAAAAAGAATAAAGTGGGGTCACTTTTGCATCCAGAATTTTGCATATCTAACCAGCCAGTTTATTCCCATGATTAAAAGGTAATCAAAAGTACTCACCAACAAGGACTTCAACAGCAGCTAAAGAATCATCCTCCCAATCCATTTCTTCTTGTTTTTCCTCAGATCCCTCCTTTAGGTTAGACGTGACAGGATAGAATTGTTTCCATTCACCAATAAGCTTTTTCGTCGATGAATCTGAAAGCTTGAATGACTGCCCTGTGAGCGTGCCATTTAATCCAAAGGGGCTTAGAATAACTAAAAAGATAAATAAAAATACATTGGAGATTCTACCCAAACAAAATTCACTCCTCCCCACTGAAACAGCATTCTTGTTATTTCAGCCACACCAAAAAAACAACTTACCATTGCTAAGTCAAAATGCACCCTAATCGTATTTTACTGTACTGCACAATTTTTTTTGTAATAGGTATGCATTGTTAAGGGTATGTGTTCTGTAAGAATCAAGGTACCACAATAACGATTACAAATTAATCTATTTAAACAAGCAACAAGCAAGTTTTCCTCTTGGCTAGCAAGGAGTCTCTTACAGGGGGGATAAAGAAACACTACTTCAAATTCCAACAGTTATAAGTTTCCTCATCCTTTCATTCCGCTTGGTACAGTTACAACAACAATGCATATACAGGGAAGTAATCTGTTTCATGTTTAGTCTTGCCCATATTAGGAAAGCACAGCTGCTGTTAAGTTGCATTCAAAAAAAAAAGTGAGTTTGGACACTGAGCATTAATAAACAAAGAGCAGTGTGTGGTCATGCAGGAGAACTGATTTCTCTAGCCAACACAAGTCTGTCTAAGACAGGGAATGATCAAACAGCCCACTAACCAGACTCAGGCCCCATCGCTCCTTTGTCTTCGAGGGCATAGCCTGCATCTGCTGGTGGAACCAAAGGAACTTACAGGCAAGGAAGAGCCAAATAAAAAGGGGTAGGGGGAGTGAATAGGTTAAGTACATTGAGTCAGAAATGGATTTCTAAAAGAGGCATTGATGAAGATACGTGGGGGTTATAAAGCATGTTGAAAAAGCAAAATATTTAAGTCACCAATAGGACAGTACTTGGAAATTAAGTTTGTTGTGTTGTGAAGACGAATTCTTTGACTACATGCCAAGGGACAAATACAGAAGTCCTCCACCTGCAGAAGAGCTGAGATACACCAACGGGCTTCGGACTACGTCAAGACAGGGGACATCTGGGAAGAACGCGTAATCAATACAGAACAGGTAACGCCTCTGCTCCCATTTCCAGTCTTTGGCAGAAGTCCTCATTCTCAGCAACTCAAGGATTGATTCATTTTAGTACTCACTACTGACTGGCAAAAACTTACCTTGAAAAGGGCTGTTAGACTGCTGGGCAAGAGTGAGGTGCTCTTCACTAAGCAGGTACACAGGTTGATGCTGACTGATTTCCACACTGGTGCAAACATTGCTATCTCCATGTAAGAAGAAGGTGAATGAGCAGGACAAGTGCTCGCTGGGGAAAGAGAAGTGGGAAGGGTGCGGGGGGGTGGAAGGGAGAGAAACAACAATTCTTAAGTACAGAACGTAAAACAAGTTGATGGCTTTCTCACTAGTTTGAAGGCATTTCCTCCCAAAATATTCATTAATGAAGCAATCAAAAATCCCTTCTACCTAAATAGCAAGAAAATGCTAAATACGTGCTCCCTGGAAGTGTTTACAAAGCATTCCAGCATTAGAGACAAAACCAAAGATCAATCAGTTAGAAAACAACAGACACTAAGTGTTCAATCTCCGACTGTCACTTTATATTTTGAGATGTAGAGGTCTAATGAGGTCTAACTTAATAGTTTTATATCTTATATATTTCCTTAAAATATATGAAAATATTTCTGAACATGTATTAATTTTAGTGAGGTCATATCTAGGTTCTCCTGTCACAAATCCACTAAGCAAAATTTGTATTTTAAGATTTAATATTAGCCACAAGTAACTTGTTTAAAAACAGGAAGAATGGCAACAGCTTTGAGAAGAGTTGGGTTTGTTTGTTTTTAACTTGAATCTTATCTTCATGCTCCTGAAGCCAATCAAGTAACTAAAAATGAAATCCCATACCTACACACAAAAGGGAAGATACAACCAACTAAAAAAACCCCCAAAGCTTAATTCATTGTTAACTAAAGTAATTGAAGCAAGTATCAATGCTTAACATCAGATGCCTCACTGATAGCTTCTCAGTCCAGAGTGTTCTAGGAAAAGAAACAGTCCTGTACAGCAAAAAACACCCCAACAATAAACATACCTCCTTCCTATAACTCTGAATTAAATGCTGTTTTCACAGTGCTATACACAGTTACTAGTTAGCAACTCCATGAAATCTTCTACCTCACAGGATCATGCTTCAGAGACTTCCCAATTTTTGCAGCTCTGTTAGCTGTCATTTTGTTATGAAAATATAAACAAACCCCTGCAAGTACAACTATCAAAATATTTTATGCTGCATCCAAATCAATTCAGTGGTTTATGCGAAATGTATTCTACTAATTTTAATTAAAGGGCAGGAAGGCAAAAAAAGCAGATCCCTGCCAGGACGCCACAGAAGCAGTACATCTTCATAGCCCATTCCATCTGAAAAAACTTTTTTTTTTTGTCTTTTTAAGGAAGAAGTTGTACAGGCACAGCACTTTTCAGTTATATTAGCTACAAGTTATCTCGAGTGTCTGCCAGACTAATACACTCCCATAGGAAAAGAACAGATGTTTAAAAGCAGGAAGATGCTATTAAATTAGGTCCACCATCTCAGTAACAGAAGAATGAAAGTCAAGGAGAACCTTTAAAGTACTTTAAACTACTGAACAGAAAATAAACCCTTCTCTATGAGGAGGGTGGCATCAAGCACCTGCTCAGTCTCAGGAAAAGAAAAGAAACAAGTCAAGGGAAACAGACTAAATTAAGTGAGTCAAAATTGCAGATACTAGTGCATTTTTTTGCAAGGTCAAATGGAAAAGAACGCCATGAACTACTGTAGCCTAAAAAGACTGTACGAACGCAACACCACTATTTCCACCCCCACCCCCTCCCCCAAAAAAAAAAATTAGACCCCATCAGCTAACGCCCAGGATCATGTGCATGCTCTCAGGCCTCACGAAATGCTTGCATTTCTTAGTTACAGCATGAGAACACAAAGCAAGTTTTGCATTCCTGAAAAAAAGATACAAACAGAGCTCCAGGGCATGAAGAAAGAACTGACAAACTCCAAGCACATGAGCAACCCTATTAAAATGCAACCTCCACACGTGCAGTTACTGGATACATCTTTAATGTCATTTCCGAGACATTTCCTTCCTCCACCCAGAGGTAGATGCTGGGACAGTAACAGTAAGGGGAAAAAAAGGTTTCTGGAATTGGCAGAGTCTTGTTCAGTCTACGGAAACAGAGATAAATGGGTTCACCAAGTCTCACCCCAAAGACTCAAAGAGCAGCCACCAGGATAGTCACCACAATGAGGAGACAGAAAGCTGTGTTAAATACACGTCTTTGCCTACCAGCAGGTTTAAAATTAGGGACCTAAAACACTACAGGGATGAGAGAACCCACAAACCGTTCAAGGAGGAACAGGAAGCGCAGCACATTTTTTTATTACAGTAACGTAAAACAGGCCATGAAGTGAACTCAATGAGGAACTGCTCTCAGTGGCTGGCCGGGACTGAAGCATAGCAGTTTTCAAGGTGCATCAAGTCCACGGTGGTATGCTGATCTGTTCAATTTTAATTGTGTTTTAGGAACAAAAAAAAGGCAGGATTCAGGCATACAAGTGAATTATCACTATTCATTGACAACTACTCAGCACAATTGCTTCAGTAACCCAGCTCTGGACAGAATACTCCCTCCAGATGAAACACCATAGCGCTTAGGAATCCCAGCAAAGTTAGTTTCCAGAATACAGTGATGATGGAGCTAAGCATCTTGTTGACGATTTTAAGTTCAAGTGAAGTCACATGGTTAGCAAACACCACTAAATTCCTATATGGAAGTCTGATTAAATTTTAATCCTTATGCAAGTAGTTGAAGACTGATCTTCACATTTAATTTTATTTTAAAATCATATTGGATGGTTTAAGGTGAAAGAGAGGATAGTGTTCTTGGTACCGAGTGGCAGGTAACAATTTAGAAGCTTAGTGTAAGCAAGGCAAAGTTTCAAAATAAAAGCACATATTCTTTAAATACATTTTAAATGCAATTAAGCTATGTCATTTGTAAACACCACATTATTACATAGATAAAGGGCAGACAATTGTAGCATAATCTGATGGAATTCAAATAAACCAAGACAAAGAGAAGCATCAGCATGATAACAGAAGCATTTTGATTCATTACACTGCAAAACCAGCCCCAAGAAGTAGCAAGGAAAATTCAAGGTCATCATGCAAAAGCCAAATCCAAAAGAAACACACAAAAAAACCCCCAAATTAGAACTCCCCTCCCACCCCACCCCCCCAGCAGAGGAGAAGTTTCCAACAAAATAATAAAGCAAGAGAGTAGCCATTGTTGTCACTGACATCACTGAACCAGCTTTGGCATGCAAACTGCAAGCACACTACTTGTATGGCTGGGAGAGCAAATCTGCTATGGTACAATTCATTCTAGAAAATCCAAACATTAGAAATGTTTACTAATTCTGGTTATAAATTTAAGGGCTAAACAGCAAAATGATGCACACCACCTTGGGTTTTTGTTTCAGACTTCCAGAGGTGCAGCAAAGTCATTTTATGTACAATAGGATAATATTGTTTCATAGTAGAAATACATAGTAAAAACAGTGCTGTCCTTAATCTAAGGGAAACAGATTTTCACATGGTACACACAGTATCTCCTGAAAACAGGAGTCGTCTTTAAAACTAAAGGTTAACATCAAAGGCAAAACTAACACTTCATGTACTCAATCGTAGCATTAAATTTCTTCCTAGCTAGTCATGCTCAGAAACTGTTTCTTCATATATAACATCATAATTTCTGTTAAGTTACGAAACTTTAGGAAATATCAATGCATGTGAAATAATCACAAGAAATACAATTATAAAAATCACAATTAAAAAAAAAAACCACAAAAACACAATAAACCAACAACGAAACCATACAGAAGCTCTTTGCAGGGGAGTGGAGAAAAGGAGGAAGGAAAACAAAGAACCAGAGCTCTAACTTACTGGATGGCTCTACATACACCATTTTATGGACTTAGCAAGTAACTCTCTAAACATGCACGTTTTGTTTTGGTTTTTTTTTTTTAATTAATACATTTGTACATTCTCTAGTTCCTTAAGTTTCCAGCAACTGACTGCTAGTACACAATGCACCTCAACCTCAGCTTAGGAGGAATCTTCTCAAGCCTTGCCATAACCTATTAATAAATAAATAAAGAAAGAATATATATCTATATAACCACCATTTCTCTAAGTCTTTCTCTCCTATTCTCAACTCATCTCACAGCCAAAAATCCTAATCGAGAAAAAAAATTACCTACTTATCACTTTGGGGTAAATAGGCAAATTACCTTTACAAAGCAGTCAAGGACACAATAACAGAAAGCAAGCTGGTGGTTTCCTGCCTGCTAACGCAGAATTCAACCCATGCCTCCTTTAATTTGCAGACTTTTTTTCTTAAAGTAGCTCAGAAGATCACTACATAATTTGTGCAGAGCATCTTCTGACTGAAATATTTTAAAAAGTACCCATACCTCAATGCTCAGAACTTTTGTCCTGCAGGCAGAGAGGAACAGTGAAGCGCTTAAGGACTGATCCTCACCTATGCTCCATTAAAATACATTTGTATAAAAAACACTTCTGATTCCCCCGTACTCCCTCTTCACTCTAATCATGCAAAACAAAGATCTTTTCATTTCAGAGACAAATGATTATGATTCTATGTGAAAAGAAACAGAAACTGCTGTGGACAATTTCAATACAATTTCCACTTCCACCTTTGTAAGAGAAACTGAAGGGTAGCAGGGAAAAGCACACTAAAATTTACATATACATGAGGTTTCTACATCTCCATTAGCAAATCTGAAAATACCTTCTTGATAAAAAGGTAATTAGATCTGTTTTTTTTCTCCACATTAGTACTTACATAGAGCTTTATATCTTCAAAGTGCTTCACAAACATTAGCTGCACTAGAACCTCACTAATCCACACTTCATTAGATTCCGTACTTCAAACCAGCACCACACTACGGCTGAAAGGCAAGGAGACTGCAACATCAGAAGCAACAAGGAAGTCTCCAACTAAAAAACCCTATAGCACATTTAATAGTAAATTCCAAAAAGCATCCAAATGTTTCAACTGAAAGAGACATTTTTTGTTTGGTTTGGGGGGGTTTTGTTGTTGCTTTGGATTTTGTTGGGTTTTGTTTGGGTTTGGGGTGGTTTTTTTTTAATAATTACCATCTCATATTTTCCTAGATAGTCTTTGTAAATTACTTCCAAGTTGAACCAAGAGTGGCTCACCAAGTCAAAGCAC